TTCTCTTAGCTACTTCCTGCTGAAAAGGGACGCTGTGGGTTTCAGGGTGAAGATCTCTCATTACTCTAAAAGGCCCCTTTGGCAATAGGAAACACATAGATTATTATGGAGATTGATTTTGGAATTTAGATGCACTGTTAGCAATTGTGCTTAGCTGTACATGTTCATATCCTTGAAGATGTATCATGGAAGCCTAGAAGACACAAATTAAACTGGGAGCTCTACCAAACACTGTTCACCATGGGTATTCATGATGGCATTGACACATTTGTGTCACAGCGTTCAGTATCACAACAACTCAAGTTATCTCAATACAGCAAACGTATAGACCAGTGCTGTACCACTTAGAAGAATGTTTTTCCCAGACAGAATTAACACTAGGCCCAAGGCCCCAACCAACTTTTAAATACGAAGTCCCACCCTTTAGGTCCTGATTGACTTAAACAAGAGGCTTCCAGCCCACGGCTGATTGTTAGCTAAATCTAGTAAATCCAGGCAACCAATCATCTCACACATAATTGTAAAGGAAATAAAAAAGGACCTGAGTCAATCAGGACTCATCTAATAGTTCAGTATAATTCAGTGTAGCTGTTTATCCCTCTTATGTTTTCAGATATTTGACTGAGTTTGTGCCAGGGAATTCTAGTGACATAGTGGGTGGAGAGTTATGCTGCCTGCACAAAGGTTTGACTCCATGAGCTGCTCCATGGGAAGAAGATGGGCAGTCTCTTCCTGTGGTATTTATAGCCTCTAAAAACCTGCTGGAGGGTCAACTATGACTTGGTTCTGACTCCACAGCAATGATTTTAAAGGGATTTTTTGGTGTGTGTGTTTATACCAAAGATGTATTGACTTTAATGAGATTAAATTCAAATTATTAGTCCAAGTATCCACATACCACTGGGCCAATTGGCAGCATCAATGTGGATGATGAAGAGATTAAGATTGTCAATAGCTACCCCCATGATACATCTTCAAGGATATGAACATGTACGGCCAAGCACAATCAATAAGAGTGCATCT